GTGACTTCTCTGACCCTCTGTAGTCTGTCATGCAAGTTCAGTACCAGGCAAAAAAGAAGCCATCCAATAAATGCAAACCACTCTTGTCATACCAAAACCATTTTATCACTGGGAACCAGGAGGAACAGGGCTAAATGGGCACAAACTTTTTCTCTGGGCACTGCTTATCTCCTTTTCCCCAAAAGCATTTGTGTGGGTAGGACTTGAAGTAGTCAGTACCTTGTATCTAAAACTCTGGAAACAAGTTAAAAACACAAAACAACAACAAAAACTGTGGCACCGTAAGGAAACCCAAGACTAAGTCAATGTGTGGTAGACACTAATTGGGACTGAGTTGATGAAAGACAGCCATCCCCAGGTGCCAGTTACTTACCTTGTTGGTGAGACCTTTTTTTTTTTTTTTTTGGCCACCCTGGGGTTTGAATTCAGGGTCTCCCACTTGAGCCATTCTAACCCAGAGACTTAAAGCACTAACTCTTGTCCATCCTCCAGGGATGGGACAGTCACATGGTCAGGGAACATGGAGGGAGGCTAAGCCTATGATTAATCCAGAAGTTCTACTGCTGACAAGACTCCCAAGACTGTCCTTTGTGCCTTCTTGAGTCGCTACCAGGTGACCCTTGGTATTCATCTGGATGTCTCCAGGAGAAACAAAGCTTGGACTTCACAAAGGAGTCCAAGACACTATAATTGGTGACCCCAAGATAAAACACAAACTGGACTGGGGGCTCCCAGTTCCTCCCTCCAAATCTCTTACCATCTCACCCCCACTTATTGGTAGCAGAAACTCTTCTTTCAGAAAACAAAAGGCGGTAAGTCCACCATCAATGCAAATGGCATACAAATTAAGGATTAAGTTCCCATGTGTATGCAAAGTATGAAGTTTCAAAGTACTAGTGGGTATGGGGGTGGGACAAGGGAATCAAATGGAAGATGCATGAGCACAAGGACAGTCAATGAATGCAAGGATTTAGAGGTCAAGGAACTGGTCTTGGGCAATACCCATCGTTCCAGTAAAAACTAAGGAAATTGCCAAGAGCTTTTCTGTTTGGTTTCTTGAAACCTGTAGATCTGGGGCACCACAGCCAAAAGGAGAGAAGCTGCAGTTTTGGAAAATGGACAGATCAAATTATTCTTTTCCACCTTTAGCTCTCCTCTATTTGGGAGTTTTCTTGTCTGTGTTACAAAGACACCTAGTATAGGTGACAGCTGACCCAGGAAGGATTCCACAGCATCTGGCAATATTCATCTTCCTCACAAAGTGGACCTTTCCCCCATGGTTCTTTGCTCATCCTAGACAGGAGACATAGGCTCTGCCCCGATCCAGAAGGCCACCTCTATATGCATTTGCAGTTAGCCCAAGTGGCCTAGTGTTCTTTCACAAACCTTGTGGGGTGAGGATGTCAGGAAACTGAACAGACACACACACACACACGAGAAAATGGCAGACCTGTATATATTTAACAATATATATTTATAGATATTTTCTAGATCAGTACATTCAGTTTTTAACTTGTTTTTTCTTCACAAACAGAAGAACTCTTACAATAGTAGACTTTCTAAAATAAATACTATTAAAATAGAGCTTCAAAATAAATATTCTATACAAAGGAAACCTTCTGTGGTAACTTTTGTGGTGAGGTGAGGGGAGCTACAGTGAAGGGTGAAAGTGAAATAGGAATGGGTTGGAATGGGAGTTGCGAACAGCTTTACTGTTTGTAACACGAAACCAAACTGTGGGACATCGAGGAGAAAAGGCAAGATTAAGACACCGCACGCAGTTACTCACAGCAAAAAAAATGGCGACCAAGATTGGACATCCACTGTCACAGTTAAGCAGAGGGCATGGAAATGCTTACCAAAGGCTTGAACCAGAAGGCTGCTGAAGCTTGTAGGATGCCCTAAATAACTGTACAGTGCAACACTGTGCTGCCCGTACCCCACCACACAATTCTTGGAGCAGCACAGGAGATTGTGACGCTTCAAGGTGACCATCACCTGGGTTCTGGCCCACACCAACACTTTGTATGTGCAGTCTTGGGTGAATCATTGTCCAGCTGGGTCCCACTTGATATACTATCAGTGCAGATTGCAAATGCTGAAAGAACCTGCTGTATCCCATAGATGGTTTCTACCTACCAGCTGTGCAGGGTCCATGCCAACACTGAGGACTGGTCTTCACTCCCTTCTGGCTGGCTTCTGAGGACCCGATTGTACACCCTGTCATTTACCCAGGAGGGTTATTGCTGGCCTACACTCCACCCCAAGGGTGCCCACTAGAGTGCTGGCCTTCACACACCCATCTCCAGGATGGGGTAGTAGTTTACAGCCAACATACCCTAGGAAGTGTCCTGGATGTCATTCCCAATGCCAGGGAATGCCACTGATCCAGGTCTGAGAGAAGTGAGAACCAGCTGGCAATTTTCAAGACAAGGCAGGCATAACCCAGCCAAGCAAGCCACAGGTGGCAGGAAAACAGTCAATCAGAAGCAGCTACAGAAATGTGACCTATTTATGAGTGCATGGTCCCTCAGCAGCTTGTGACTGGCCTGGGAAGAGATAAAGGGCCCATGGGTGACCCATGTTTTTTTCTTTTTGCCAAGGAGCCAGAGAAAAGCAATGCTGAGGGAGCACTACACAACAGAGCTGGGAGAACCAAGGATGCTTCTTTCCCTCCTTTTTCCATTGAGCACATGGCACAGAGGTGGACTTTTAGGGAGAGTTCTGCAGACATCCATCTAGCAGGTTAAACGCAAGCCAAAATGGGGGAGGCAAAAAATAAAAAAGCAAACCAAAACCCACAAAAATCCGTGTTTACAACTATGTACACAAGTCAGGGTTCAGGAGGCCTTTTACCAGAAACAGGGTCTATGTTGGTAGAAGGTCAGTGTGTGTGTGTGTGTGTGTGTGTGTGTGTGTAACATGTGCTTGTGTGCATACACAGCTTATGTAGATCAATTCTCCACAGAATGGGTATGTATATCAAGATCACCAAAGTGCAACTTGCCACCGGGTTGCTTCCCATGGAGAAGATTCAAGGGAGGGACCTTGGGCAACTTTCCAAGACCTTTCTGAAAAGAGTGCACATGTGTGCTATCATTTTGGGGGCTACATCTATGGAAAACAACTCCAGCCCCTTCAGTACACTTCCAATACATTCAATTAGTATAAGTGGCTGGCTAATGTGTTTGTCTTCTACCATTGCCTCCGATTTGTGCAAGAACATCCATACATCCATCACAACTGTGGCTTATGAATTAGTCTAGAGAATGAAGATGCAATATTTTATACTTGCCTTTTATAAGCCAGCAAATGTTACATAAATAAAGCCCCAAATAATAAGGCCCTCCGTTCCTCCACTCAATAAATACCTATGGTTACAATTAACTTAGTCTAAATCATAAGATGTTATACTAGTTTCCAAGAAGAGGAAAAAAATCCTTGAGAAGCGTTACCTACACGCCACTCACAGCTACCTGCCTCCTTGTCTCCTTCCAGGAGGCAGTTCCGTTCCTACAGAACCAGCAAAAAATGCTACAGATACTGCCTAACACCTGGGCCGCCTCTCCTGACCCAGGCCACTTCCTCTCACCAGAGGGGAGGGACAAAAATACCACACAAAGCAAAACCCCACTGGGGGGAAGGACCAGATACACTATAGCTTTTGCATGCAACAAGTACCTACCCACTGGATGTGCTGCACTTTCTGAGTCCTTTAGCACCTGGAGAGAAAGAGTTGCTATGACTTTGGGGGTTGTCAGGAGGGGGTGTGCTGTGCACAAAAGCAGGGCTCAATCCCAGTGGCCCCTGGAGAACCTTTCCCCACCCTCTCTGAGCTCTTCTGACCCCCCATGGGGCTTCCTAACACTAAAATAGACTCTGTTCATCTCTGTATTTACATGAAGATACAGTCGCATCGCTATACACAAAAGGCTATGACAGCAAGCAGCAGAATCAGAAGAGAGGAAACCCAGCCCCAGCTCAGCTCAACTGTCATTCTGCCAATGGGAGGTGTGGCCTCTTTGCTGCTAAAATCCTCTTCTTGTGGGTGGGCAGAATTGTGCTCCTTGAGGTTGTTTGCCCCCAGATTTTGAAATCAGCCCTTCCTGGGGGTGGCCCAAAAGGAAGCAAGTTGTTTTAATATTATTGTTTAAAACACCGTTAGCATCTGGCTTAATTATTCTATAAAAACACCATGACTGGATCCAGAGACCACAGCCTCAGACTCATTGGCAAAATGCTATTTGGTCTCACATATGATGCCCTGGCCTTCTCTACCCATCAAATTGTGGAAAGGATCTGAGCAGAGAGAACTCAGGACACGTAAGCAGGCAGGCAAGTCTGTGACATGTAAGAACCAGAGGACGGTGTGATGAGCTCAACACCCCCGAGAGTTAGCGACAAGGCCAGGAGGAAGGAATCACTGTGCAGCGGCTTCCAAATCCATCCTGTGGCTGGCTCCGAGGAGGCAGGAGGAGGAGCGAGGCTTTGACTCACCGGCTGTCCTCTGTTCTCAGCCACTCCCAAGTATATACAGTAGAGGCTGCTAGGGTGTTCTACACCTTCCCCGGGATGGCACGTTGGGGCCAACAGGCATGGAGAGAGAAGGGGAAGAGGAAGGTAGAGAAAAGTCAAGGCTCCAAGGGTCATCTTCAAGGTACCCTGGCACTCAGTAACTCCTCCCAGACAGCCAGCTCCTGTGTGAGCCAAAGACAATGGCAGAGTGGGAGGGAGAGGGCAGGAGGACGGGGGATCAGGAAGGCCATCAAGCTGCTGCAACTTCCGGTTATGTGTCCACATCTGTGTTCCATCTTCTGAAACAGAAAAATCCCCCCAAAACCGCACCCTGCCCTGCCACTATCTGCTTGACACAAAGTTCCAGGACCCTGGAAACCCCCAAAGTGCTTCTTCATCCTTTTGGGGAATAGAAGATGGGTGGTGGCTGTCTTTGCCTGTTTCTTCCCTATCAAGAGCTGGGGTGAGGACATATGAGCAAGGTTGGCCTCAGGAGGCAGGCAGGAGTGACCCATGTTTCCAGGGGCAGTGCTGGGGCGTTGACCCAAAGTGTCAGAAAGGCTTGTCGGGTCTGCTGGCCATGGCATCCCCACCAGCGGCCTTGCAGATGACGCTGTTCGTGTGCTTGCAGCGGCAACCTGGGCGGCGAAGGCGGTCATAGCCACGCTGGGCCAGCTTCACACAGCCCGTGGCTGGCAGGTAGCAGAGCAGGCAGGGCAGCACCATGGAGAGGGCGCCCATGAAGGACCAGCGGGCGCAGCAGTTGGAGCGGGAACAGGAGCAAGGGTGGTCAGCACAAGAGCCTTCATCGTCCTCATTGGTGCAGTGGTAGAAAATACCCTGCACCAGGCACATGCAGGTGCCGTAGTTGACCAAGGTTTGGGCCGAGCACAGGCACTCCTGATTGCAGACCCAGCAGGAGGGCAACGTCCGAGGGGACGCACACTCCTTGCATTTACACTTCCCACAGGCCTCGCACAGCAAGAAGTGCTTGTCCAGCTCTGGTGGGACGGCTGGACCCTTGAGATCCAGTGGCTTACAATGCACCACCTTGGGCTGGAGGCGCACGGCCCTGGGCGAGGCCTGCTCGGCCACAGGTGGTGGAGCCATGTGGTCTAGAAGCCGCTGGTCAGAGGAGGTGCTGCTGCTACTGCTCACAGAGCTGGGGCGTCCACTGAAGGAGATCCAGTGGTGGGTGACATCCTGGTCACAGCGAGCAGGTGTTGGGGCCAGCTCTGGGGCCCCAACCCGGGTCCTCTTGGGACCAGTTGGAGGGGCCAGGCTAGGGTTGTCTATATAATCGTTCTCCACGTGGCTGGTCTTCATCTGGTCAATGGGGAGGATGGTAAGTGGGTGCTGGAGCCGGCTGTGGGGCATCCGGCTGTCAAGAAGGGGCTGCACCATGACTGAGCTGGGAGTTAAAGGGACGCTCTGTGGGATTGGGGGCTCCATGGGGCTGGAGGTCCTGGACTGCTGCGGAGAAACAAGCTTCTAGGGACCCTGGGGAAGGGTGGGGAAAAAGAAAAAGAGAATGGATTCCAGGCATCAGTACGTGGTCTGTTAATACCGCCCACCTCCCCATTGGGAAGCTCAAATGAAATGGGAACTCAACTTCCTGAACAAACTTTCCAGCAACTGCCAAGTAATTACAACAGTAATAGCAATAGAAATAGCTCTACCACTTGAGTCACTCCACCAGCCCAAGTGAGTTCTTTAATTTCTATGCCTTAGACCTTAGTTTTGTCATCTATAAAATGGATCTTGCAAGAATTAAATCGGAAAATACGTATCTGGTACCCAGTACATTTCCTGGCACACAGCAAGTACTCAACAATTTATCACTGATTCAGAATATAACAGTTTAGATTTCCTGAGCACTTACAAGCACTAGTGCCAAGCATTATACTGGGCGCAGAGAACAACGTGGCAAGCACAACAGACCCTGTGTGCTCCACAGAGTTTATCAGCTGGATAAACAAAAGCCTTCATTTCAGATATTCAGAAGAGAAGGAAGGGCTGCATCTGATGCCTGCACATCCAGGATATTAACATATTACTCTAGCTTCCAAGTGTGGCGACCTCCAGCAGCTAATAATCCCTGGTAGGTGAGCTCCTGACAACGTGGATGGGAAATCCTCTCTCGAGGGGCGCTCACATCACCCATTTCCAAGTGCTGAGCTGAACATTCAGCTAAATGCTATTTACTAGAATAGCTAAGCCAACCCTGGATCAGTTTCTAATTTCACTGAGAGAGTGCAATTTTAAGCTGGCATCCGGCCAGAGATTCAACTGCAGTGCCTGACATGGAACCCCAGGAAGTCACTTAAATCAAAGAGCGGAAACGGCTTGGTTCAAATTTAGAAAGTGCACATTGTTTTCTATTAGAAGTGCCATTTCCTTGCCTGCTGACCTTTACATTTGGAATTCGGATGGAGATCAATTTAAAGAAACGGAAGCAGAAGGCCAAGACCTCTGCTCAAGGGGGACAAAATCTGGAATCCTAAGGAAAGATTATACTCTGGGAAGATTCCACCCAGACCCTCAAGATCTCCAGAAGGTTTTGGGGGAGGAGGGTGCAGGAGAGGAAGATGACGGTCATTTATTTAAAAAAAAAAAAAAGCAAAATCACTGATTAGTGTACGGGTGGTGTTTCCCTGGAAGTGCTTTTTCAAGACACTAATGACAGTTATAATCAAGGGAGCTGCCCCTGCCCTGTAGTTGTTAAGTTTATCTTACATCAAAGGTGAGGCCTGAGAAGGGGATGTGGACAAGTTTCACTTCCAGTTTACCCCACATCCCCCCTCTGGACTAGGGACATCACTGATCCATCTCAATATCTCAGTCACCAGAGAATGACACCTGGCCCCCTGAAACTCTTATGCTGTCCGTAGTAAGGTGTGTTTGTGCGGAGGGGAGAATTATTGTACTTCTGCTAGAAGACGATGTGATCAGAGAGACTTACAATGGCCAGGAAAGAAGAGCTTCCTTAGATGCTCTAACCCATTGAAAATGGAGCTATCATAGCTTCTCAGGAGGCAGAGATCAGGAGGTTTGCATTTCGAAGCCAGCCCAGGCAAATAGTTCGAGAGACCCTATCTTGAAAAAACCCATCACAAAAAAAGGCTGGTGTAGCTGGCTGAGTGGCTCAAGCAGTAACAGCGCCTGCCCGCAAGCATGAGGCTCTGAGTTCAAACTCCAGTGCTCGTCAAAAAAAACAAAACAACAAAAAAGGACTGGTGGAGTGCCTCAAGTTGAAAGCCCTAAATTCAAACCCCAGTACCACAAAAAAAAAAAAAATCAGGTCTTTTCTACAAGACTCATTATGCTCAGTTGACCTGTATTTCCCTTCATATGGCACACAATTATTGGCACTGATCCCACAGCCCTGCCTACTTAAAAGATGTTGGTATTTCTACTTTTTGTTGTTTTTTCTTTTTTGGTGCTGGGTTGAACCCAGGGCCTTGTGTGTGCTAGGCAAGTGGTCTACCACTGAGCTACATCCCAGCCTGATGCTGGTATTTCTTTACACACAGTTTTCTACCTAGTGGCAGCTTCTGCCCCAAAGTTCTCTTCACGTGAAACCAGAGCATCGCTTTTGAATGGGAGTCTTCCTTATGGAGGCGTTTGCCTTAAATGTCTGGCTGGTCTGCCACCAATGAGGAGTAATTGCCAAGGTGGCCTCCAGTGGAGACCCTGTGGTCAGAGCTGGGTGGAAGAAATCTGTCTATGTATCTATCTATGAAGGGGCATTTTCCTGGGAATCTGCCTCAGCCTGTCCACTTATTCTAAGAAGGGTTTCAAGGCCTTACCTCTAGAAAAAAAATGAGTTGGGGGGTCAACCCTTCCAGGGTTCGAAGCCCCAGGTTCCGTCCGGTCCTGGGGCCTTTGGCTGGAGGAAAAGTTGGGACTTTGCATAAGAATGGAAAATGCCATGGATAAGACTATGGCACTACTCAAGAACTGCTTCAGACTGAAACTTCACCCTCAGACAAAGACATTTCAGTCCCTTATTCCTGATGCCCAGATTACAAATACTGTGGGTCCTGCCAATAAAACATTGGGGACACTTTCAAGGGGCTACGTAGTGCCCTATGTAGTTAGGGTTTTGTCTCAGGACTGGGATTGCAGCTGACTATGCTAGGGAAAAAGTAAAGGTACGCCTAATCACTCAAGCACACTAACCATTCTGCTTTTGCAATTCAATTCCTGGGGCTCTTTAGAAACAGCTGCACTTCCTGCAGATGAAGCAGAAGACATGGGCAGCTCTCAGGGTTTTTTTTAACAGGCCCTGGAATCAGTGGGCAGATTCCCCAATTCCTGGAAAGAAGTCCCACCAAGAAGCCAGTTGGGAGCACTGGGGGATGTTGGTATTAGCAGGCTCCCATCACCCTCCAGAGGCAGCTGTCCACATCTGGGCCTGCAGTGGAGGCCAGTCATGGGGGTGGGAGCTTGGCCCAGGATGACTCAGCTCTCTTGGGACAGGCAGCAGCTGATGACTCTAGCAGGCATATTCTAAAATGCATCTTCCTATCATAATCCTGATGTAGGATCTCTTCTGGCCATCAGCTCAGCAAAACCAACGACTGGCTTTAGAGTTCTGTAGCTCACACTTCCTTAGGCCTGTGGTCTAACCAGTGAAAGCAGGAACCTTCCACAGGAGGGCCCTCTAAGAGCCTGTGCTGAATTTATTTGGTTGGCAAAGAACAACTTTCTGAGCTACCTGTGTGATAACTCCTCAGCACAGCTCCATGTCTCAAAAAAACCAAAAACAGCTTAAGTCTCAGTTGGTTTAGGAGGTCAAGCATCACTGAGACCTGCCACCCTCCCAGACTGAGCACCACTGAAAATCTTAAGTGCAGTTTAATATGTACCTGCTTCCCCTCCAAGGAAGGAAGAGACTTATAAATAGGAGGAGGCTTTGCCTCATTTAGCTGTTGGGAAAAGCTTGATGGCTGATTTGGAAGACTCTGGACAGAAATACAACCAGCACTGCACTTAGCCAAGAAGCACCTCTGTATCATTTTAGGTGACAGCAATATGGATTAGTATGAAGGAAGGGAACTTTCACCTGCACTCAACCTTCTAATAATAATATAGAAGAAACTAATATTTATGAAACATTTCTTGGTGTCAGGCTCATGCTAAGCCCACCAGGACTTCTTTTCTCATTTAATCCTTGCCATCACCTTAGAGGATAGCACCCATACTGCACAGTGAGAAATGAAAGTACAAGGGGTCATGGAGTTTAGCAGGTGATCAGGGCAGGATTCGATCCCAGACAGCAGAGGCTGTAAGGTCAGCCACACAGCTGTGGCCTAATGGCTTGCATAAACCCTCCATAACCCAGGCTTTCAGAGCCTTGGAAACTCTGCCGCCACTCCCCCCCCACCCCCCAGCTTCTCCCCTAGTTGGCCACCAGCCCCTCGGACTCAAGTCACTCAACTAGCAGGGAAATGAAGCCAGATGGATTTTATCAGATGAGTCTCCAGTTGGAATTTCCAGTGTGGAGAGTGAAGGCTGAGGGTTTGTAACTTCTATTGTGCTTAGAATCCAAGTTCCCTTCACTCTCAATTCAGATGTCATTCCTTCTGTCACCTTACCTTCTTTTACTGTTTTCATTTTCAATTTTCTTAGGAAAAGTGGGTCTGCTTGTAGGATTTTACCATAAAGCAGTTCTTAAAAGGAAAACCTAGGGTGAAAGGGAACCCCTTCTCCTCACTACCTATCAAGTTGGACTTGTGGGTCTTGGGAGCACCTTTATTGATGGGGTTTCTAGTACAGTCTGTGGGGATGGGAGGAAGGCACAAGGAAGACAGAAGAGTCCCAGAATACTGAATCAGCAGAAATAAAAAGCCCCAGAGCACACAGTAGCCCTGTATTTGCTGTTTGGAGTCTGGGAACACCTCCATTGGAACCTGTGGGGAGGGAGCTGAATACAGCCTGGCAGAAGAAAATCAAGAGGCTTGTTAACCATCCACACCACTGGGGTGGATGCCTCTTCTCAAACCCTTGATTTATCATAGGAAGGGGAGTCGGAAAACATTGGGAAAACTTCCTGGTTGTACTTTGAAAACTACAGGTCAGGTAATGACAAACTAGCAAGAGGTTCTGAATGAATGGGCAGTTTCTGCTTGCCTATTCAGTCTCAGTGGGCCCTTTCAGCCAACGTTGTTTAACCCTTTAAAAACTCAGAATAAAGGTCTCTAGGCTGCTAAAGAGCCCGCCTGCCCGCCACCACCATTGCTTGGTCCTTTGGAACAACATCCCAGTTTAGTTAATTAAGCTACAACCAAATGATGACTTATGCTTTAAAAAGACTTTTAAAAGGCAGTGGTGGTAAGGGAAACTAGGAACTTGCCCCTCTCTAAACCGGGACATCTCTGCTGCTTCAACATCCCTGGTGCTTCAAAGAATAAAGCCTTTGGCCAACTGGATTTGTCTGCAACCTTCCTTCTTCCCACTCCCTGCCTCCCAGCACCAGCGCTAAGGAGCTCATCTCTGGCTACAATCTGGTAGAGATCACAAAAGAAAATAGTGGCTTTTCATTACTCAGTTCCATCATCAATTCACCATGCCCAACTCTTCCTTCTTTCCCAAGCAAGCTCCAGCACACCGTGGGTGGGAGTCTTTCAAGTTTCTGCTTTACTGTATTACCCCGTAATTGTTGTCTACTCAGATCCCTAGAAAGAGAGGGCTCAGAAGCCAACAGTCAGTAAAGACAGAAACTACAAGGAACCACTGGCTCCACTGGAGAACTACAGGCCCAAGTCAAAATGTGGGGTGGGACCTAGAGACTAAAGACTCCCACAGAAGGGCTTCTTCCCATGGGACATCAAGATCATCTGGTTTGTCTCCTTACCCTCCACCAAAAAATGAACAGACAATAATAGATTTTAGCTTACTCCTGGGCCAGGGCAGGAAATGACTTCCCCTTTCCCCAGCCAGAAACAGACAAGACTATACCACAAGGGAAAACACTCTTCTACAAGTGGCCACCTGCCCTGAAGGGCCCCTTCCATCCTCTGCTAGACCAGGCACATCTGTGCTCCCTCTTTAGCATCCTAGCTTCCTCCACTGACTGGGGCCTGTCCTTGGAAAGAACAATCAGGATCACAGCTGAACAGTGGAGCCTCTTAAGCCCAGACACATGTCCGGATACATTCCCCAGCCTTGTCAGCTGTCTGGGTCTGCAGGGTGACCAAAACCCCTGACTGCCCTTAAATTAGACCCTCCTCCTAGTTTGCCTCAGTCCTGGCCACTCATTGGTAGGCCTGTTGGTCCCTGGCCCCTTGGAAGAGTTTGTTCTTTACTGAGGCCTATGCTTAGACCTGACTTGCTGCTCGTTTGCTCTGCCCAGGCCCCTAGCTTTGAATGAAAGACCAGCCCACGGATCTCTGTGTGTTGTTCTTCTTCAATTTCTTGCTCTGGCTCTTTTAAAGGAGCAGAACCACACCAGTGAGTCACTGATTTCTCCTGATAGGGAGATCTAGGTTGGCCACGAAACAGAACCTTCTCCAACTCCTGCCATTCTCTTCCTTAAAAAAAGCAAAAACAAACAAACAAAACCCCTGTTGTGTCTACCAGCAACTGTCAACAAAATCCAGGGGCAAGGGCAGGAATCCCCCCCCCCACTTTGTCACAAGGAAGCTTCTACCTCCATAGGGCCAGATGACAGACACTCTGGATTCAGAACCAAAGTAAACACTGTGACTGAATACTGAACTTCCATGAAAAAAAAAAAAAAAAAGGGGGGGGGAGGGCTCTTTTCTAAGAAAAATGCTTATGGGGAGTCCAGGACTGGGGGCTGGACAATGCCGCACTAAGGGATGTGTAGTCCCTTAATTCCAGAAACTGGAATTGAAGTACCTATGTATGATCAAAAAGTATTGAACCCCAGACATTTCAAGGGCCACTTTAAAACGTCCTGCTTGGTTTTTTTCCTTCCCCATAACTTTTAAAAATTATTGACTTTCTCAACTTGTTACTTAATATTCAAGAAAGTCAGCCAACCTCTGGGCACATACAATGTTGGGTTTACAAGATTGTAGACAAGGGGTATAAGCAGGGCAGCCAGTGATTTCCAAAAAGCCACATTTCTCCACCAATTCTGGAAGGATACAGACAAAAATGTGCAAGTGCCCAGCCTCACCTGCTTTAGCCTGGAATTGATCTACTCTTATGTGCTCTGTGTCTCTTCCCACCAGCCCCAGCCAAAGCTTTGGGGAGAAGCTGCCATTTCCAGAAAACTCTGGGAAAGGGGGTGGGAAGAAGCAGGAGGGGTACGGGGGGGGGAGCGGGCAGGTACACCCCACAAGAAAGGAAATGACTTCTAAGTTCACAATCTAAAATGGGAAGATCACCAACCGGTGTCATTAGTCTCCCTCATCCTAGCTAGCCAATGTGTCCCTCTAGATTTCAGAACTCTACCCAAATCCCTCTCAGGTCCCAGCCACACAGCTCAACTGCTCAGTGTGCACTACTGCTCACCAAGTTAGGATTCTCCTGGAGCCAGCCAGAACATGAAGACCTTTCCTAGGGGAAGTGGCCATCTCTTACAAGTTCTTTCTCACCCTTGAGAGAGACTAACTCCAGCCCTCCTTTCCTAGACTGCCCCACACACGCATAAAGGGGCAAAAAGGCTGACATTTTTAGATGTTTATGCTCCATTCGTGTGAAGATTGGAGGGCTCTAAGCATTATGAAATTCACTAGTGCAATATTGGGTAGGGCCTCATGCCAGATGGAACTTGTTAAGAGATTGATAAACCCTGATTTCCCAACTGCTCTGGATCGTCTACCTTCCAGCTTTGTATCCGTGAGAAGCTTGTCAGGAGGATGCGTGCCTTTGGTCAGCTAACCAGACAAACATCTGTGTGCTCCCGCCCCTCAGCAGGTTCCCTGGCCTCCAATGTGTCTGGCCTCTCCCCAAAATGAAGAGAATCCTGCCAATGATATGGAGGCAGGAAAGAGGGGGTGCTTCTACTAGGTCTATGGCCCCACTCAATCTACCCCTTTCCTTGAGCACACCATGGTGGGGGGTTTCCCTGGAGCTTTGCTGCGCCATAAGGAGGCCTCCTGCCCTCACCCAGGCCTAGCAATATGGATGCCCATCCAGCAGCTGATGAAAAGACAGCTAGCAGCTCTCCCTTCTGCTCACCATTCCGCCCCTCCAGCCCATTTCGCTTCTAGCTCCATCCCTCAGCCCTTCAAACATGCAACCATTTTCCACCTCTCTCGCCTTCTCTGCCCGCGACCTCCAGCCCCCCATCAAGAAAATTGAGAAACCTTCTTGCACAAGAGCAGCTACTGTCTAAATGCCTTTTAGCGTCTGCATGGAGGGCAAACTGGGCACACAGCTCTGGACCCAGTGATGGAGCCAAGCTCCAGCTGCCCTGGCTGGCCAAACACTCCCTCACGCCCCTCAATGCCCCGGTGGCCTTGGCGATTCAGAATTTTTGGTAACATACCGTCTCTATACTCTTGGTGTTGTCAAGCCTGGTACCACCAAGAAGCAAGGAGGGAAAGTAGGAGCCTTATCTCTCCTACGCACGAAACCTCTTCCTCCAGCTCCCACATGCCCGGCGTTATGTAAACGCACCTTCAGCCCCCACCACAGTCCTAGCGAGGCCCGGGGGCTCTGGGGCCTGGCACAGCTCGATGCCCAAGGATAGGAAGGGAAGGGATGGCCGAGGAGCCTCCGGCCCTGCAGAGGCCGGGAAAGGGAGGTGCACAGCATAAAATGAGGCAGCCGAGCAAAGGTCAGACGGCCAGGAATGGCCTCGCCAAGGAGAGGGAGCAGAAATGCCCAGTCCTTGGGCGGCCCCACGCTGACCATCGAGGGGGAAGCAGAAGGGGAGGAAACTCAGTCTGTCACGGCTCGGAAGGGTAGAGAAAAACCTACGTCGAGCATAGGCCGCTGCGGCGGGTTGGGGAGACCCAAGGCAAAGCTGGCACAGTGGGCACGGAGCCCTGGAGGTGGGCGAGCCACCCTAGGCGAGGGCGCCCCCCAGACCTAAGTGGTGGCTCCTGACCAAGCCCAAAGCCTCCCGTTCTAGCGCCCGAGGCGAGTAGTGGCAGGAAAAAAGAGGCCAGGCCAGAGGCAATCTCCCGGGACACGCACAGAGCTTCCCGAATCGCAAAGGGCAGGGAAACCAGGCTTGGCTATGTCCGAGGGTCCGAAACGGAGGTGCCAGGCTGCGAACACCCCTAGCGCGGTGCTGGCCGGGACGAGGGCGCCAGGGAGCTGCGGCGGACCGCAGCGACTCAAGGAGGCGCAGGCAGAGGGAAGGAACACAGGCGCGGCTAGAAATAGCGCACCATTTGCCCCAGCCCGAGGGGGAGTAGCGTTGCGGCTCAAAGGAGGCAGTTTCGGATCCCCAAACCAGTCATGGACTTACTTTGAGGAGCTGGAGAGTCACAACCATCGCTCCACGTTTGTACAAATCCTCGAACCCAAGCGGGTCAGTCGCCGATGTACTCGCAGACGCCAGCCAGAGAGGAACCGGCAAGGTTCCCTATGTCCCGCAGCGCTAGCTCCGCGCTGTCAGCTCCGCTCGCAGCCTCAGCGGCGATGTTGCAACTGCCTGGGAAAATGGCTTTTTTATGAATGGGAGGGAAGAGCACTTCAGTGCGCACGCGCGCCGTCCGCGATTCTATGAATGGGTGGGCACAAGAGACCCCGTGCGCGCATGCGCTGCGCTCCTTTTTTATGAATGGGGGGCCGGAAAAGAACTTAACCCGTGATTGCTGGGGCTGGCTTTTGCTCCTCAAGGGGCCGTAGTTCTTTTACAAAGAGGGGTGGAGGTTCGGGTGGAGGTTGTTATTGTTTTTTTTCTTTTTCTTTTTTTTTTTTAATGACTGGAGGGCGGCGGCGACTGCTGCAGCTGGCTCAGCTGCGCGGGCTGTACCCCCCTCCCAGCCTACGAGAGGAGGTAAAGGCTACCTTGACGCCACTGCGGGCCTAGGCAGGAACCATCCTTGTCGCTGGAGGGTGGGGGGCGCTGCGGCCTCGGGATCCCAGAGCTGAGAACAGGGTTGGGGAGGACACACCTATATCTGCGTATCTCTGGCGGCCGCAGGCAGTGTGTGTATGTCTGTGTGTAGAGGGGGAGGGGTGCGCGAGGAGACCCCTGCTGGGGACCTTTTCTTTCTTTAGATCAGTGGCGCCTAAGGACGTCGGGGGGAAAGGGAACTAGAAGCCGCATTTACCAAAAATTAAGAAACCGTCCATGGCCTTTCTCAAAGAAGGGGATTTGGTGTGGGTTGTTGGGAGAACCTGGTTCCTTTCCTGAGGCTCTTTCCTGAGTGCAGACCACCCCTCCCCCCACTTCTTGGGTGTGGACAGTGACTGGGCCGAGGCCTCTTCCGGCTGCAGTACCCCCCGGGGCGATTCTGTCCACTCAGCCCGAGGCTTGGCCCTCACCTCTCAGCGCTCCTCCCCTCCCCCGCCCCAGTGTAATGTCCGCGTGCTGGGGGCTTCCGCCGCCCTCTGCTGCTCAGTCTAGGTGCGCCCTCTCCCCGCCCCCGTCCTTATCCCACCCTTCCCAGGACGTTGGCCTAAGTAACCTCTGTCTACCGAAGGCCTAAGGCCCTTTGCGGCTGTGGGCGATTTTTCTCAACTCTCCCTCTCCCCCCATTCCCCCTTCCCCACCCCGCCTCCCCTAAAGGGAAACAGGAGTTGCGGTAAACTGGCCAGGTGGATGGGTGGAGCCGGCTGCGCCGAGGATGCTGCCGGGGTGGCCGCGGGATTAAATAACAGGGCTCTTGAGCCGTAGAGGAAATGGAAATGGCCAGAGATCCTTTCTTTGCTGTTAATGGGGGGATGGGGAGGGGGGGGAAGGTCAGCCCAAGCCAGTGAAAGGAAAAGCCCCCACCATTAAGCTTGACTCCTGGAAGGTCAGCAGCCCCCGCGGCAGGCCCAGCAACACCCAGAAACAGAGGAATCGGTAGCCTCCACGGAGCCTGGTGTAGGGGGTTGGTTTTGATGTGGGGATAAGAGCTGGGCCTGATTCAGAATCCCCTGTAAGGTGTGTCTTGCTGATGTTCCGGAGGTGAAGCCCATCTTTTTCTTCCTACGCCATCATAGGACAGGGCCGGCTGTCTAAGGAACCATTGAAAGATTCCCAGCCCTGGGCTGAGGTCTGGCCTGGGGCTGGTGCTCCCGAGACCCGGAGAACTGGTAGCTTAGACTACTAAGGTCACCATGTCCTAGTTTAAAGTGCCTTCTCACCGCCCAGACTCACCTGTGTGTGATTACTTACCCAGCTCCTGGGGCCACAGCAGACTCTCCTAGGGAAGCTCAGCCTTCCTTCCAGGGCCAAGACTTCCCTCTAAAGCCAAGAGGACAAACTCATCACCGGGAGGGGGAGGGAGACAACTGTTAAGGACTCCCTGTAAGGGTATTGAAGTTCAATGTCACTATCTCTATTTGTCAGACGTAGAAATTGCTTCCAAGGACCTTGAACCTGGTGAGTGGAAGTAAATTGTAGTGCTGATATTCTAGATCTTTGTAACCCAGTTCTCTGTACTTTGCTCCACACCCTTTTCTGCATCACAGACCTAAAAGCCTGTTCCTTTTAGGTCTTTTAAGCAGTTAAATAATAGCAATTTTTCCAGGTGGTGCTCACCCATGGCCCTTGTTCAGACAGTTACAAGGATGAGAATAAATCTTTTTTTAAACTGTGGAGGATGAGTTACTGTCATGTATCCTTTATTAGAGGAATTAGCCAAGAGACAGGGTTCCAATTTGTGGCCTTTTTCTCAGCTTTCCTGAAAGGGGAGGTCAGGAAACCCCAGTCCAATGTGGCTAGAAGGAGGTGCTCTCCCCATGTTTAAGTACAGTGCCATCAGTGTCCACTAAAACCAGTGGTTTGGGGAACAGTTAGGAGAAATTCATTCACTCATCAGTACTGTGCTGGGGCCTGCACTGGGGCGAAGAACAGATGTCCCTCTGCCTTGTGAGGCTCAGTCTTTTTTAGGAGACAGTGCAATCTAAGCCAAGATCAGCACTCAGAGGGAATAGTAAGCATACTCAGAGCATGGGGTGGAGAAGGGTTTTCAATTTTTTTTTTTTTTTTTTAATTAAGGGCCTCCTGCTTGCTAAGCAGGTACTCTTACCAGTTGAGCCACTCTGCCAGCCTGGAGAAGGATTTTGATTTGGGCATCAGAAGTGTCTTACAGGAGTCTCTGGTTGTGAATTGAGAAGTGAGCCTGAGAGAGGGTTAAAGAGACAACATGAGTGGAGGCCCTGCCCTGTGTGGGGAAAAGCCTGGCATATGGGCGTGTACAGAAGGTCTCTGGCCACAGCTTGCTGAGCAGGGTTGAAGGGAGGCTAGTGAGGCGTTAGGTATCATCTGGTTTTTCAGCAGGGTGGAACACACTCAGACTTGTGCTTTAAATCTCTCCAGCAGCCCTGGGGCCAGTGTTTGGGGAGTGAGGGACAGAGTGAATGATGGTGGGGGGATATAAGACATTGCTTCTTAGAAGGTAGAAGACACTGCATTTGTTCTTAGGGGTTGTGATAGAGGGCTTTTTGTTTGGTTTGGTTTTCTACTTTAGCTGTCTTGTTAATTCCAAAACTACTCAATGTCTTCTCTAGTAGAACTTTTCTGCCATAGGCAGATTCTAACAACCTTGCATTCTTGCTCCTGCCAACGACAAGCCTTTTCACCCCTACCCCAATACAAACCTTTTCATCTCCAGATCCCCAGGAGTAGAGTGGGTTCAACTCTGGGCTTTGTCCTTTTATCAAGGACCAGGGAGATCAGTTAGTAGGTGTGAGGAGAAGCAGAAATTCCAATTCAGTTATAGACATTTATGGAACCCTTACTGTGTGCCAATCCTGTGTGCAACATGTTTCAGTGTTCCTTTTTTTCCTTCTTGTTTTTGTTCCTTTTTTAAAAGAGACAGGGTTTTACTAAATATTCCAGGCTGGCCTGGAACTTGTTATTGTAGCTCAGGATAGTCTCCAACCCTTCCCTCCTTCTACCTCTAACATCTCGGGTACTAGGATTAGAGGCCTAATCCTATAGTCAGGCCACCAGGCTTTTTAAATTTTTTTTTTTTTTTTACAGTGCTGAGGATCAAACCCAGAGTCATGCACATGGTGGGCAAGAGCTCTACCTGATGTACACTCCAGTCCCTGCAATCTTGCTTTAAAAGCTGTGTCCTGGGGACTGTGGTGTAGTTCAGTAGTAATACATACTTTTTTTTTTTTTTTGTGGTACTTGGGTTTGAACTCAGGGTCTTCACATTGAGCCACTCCACCAGTCCTTTTTTTGTGATGGGTATTTTCCAGATAAGGTATTGTGAACTATTTGCGTGGGCAGGCTTCGAACCCAGATCCTTCTGATATCTGCCTCCTGAGTAAACTAGGAGGACAGGCATGAGCCACTGGTGCCCAGTTATTCAGTAGTAATATTTTGCTTTGCATGCACAAGGCCCTGGGTTTGATCCCTAGTACTGAAAAAGAAAGCTCTGTCCTGATCTTGTCACTTTTTTTTTTTTTTTACAGATAAGAAGTCCGAGGCTCTGTTTTATTTATGTATTAATTCCATAAAAATTCATGTGCATTTCCTGTGTGTCAGGCACAGTGCCAGTGTTGGGAGACAGGCACTATTTTGCCGGGCTGGCACAGTGCCAGTGTTGGGAGACAGGCACTGTTTTGCCGGGCTGGAGCTTACATTCAGTAAGGGGGTGGGGTAAGGTGTGCTTCCCCCCACATTCTTCATCAGCAAGTGCCCTTCTTCATTTCTATGTTCCATTGACATTTCCCAGCCTTATGTCCAATACTAAGCAAGGGTCGCAAAATCCCCTTTCTCCCCTATAAATGACCATCCTGCTCCCACCTACAGAGAAGTTCTGGAATTGCTACTGGTTACAGGCAAGTCTGGGAGATAGATGTTAAACAAGTCACTGATCAAAGAATGATTTCATTATTGTGAATATCAGTGGTGCGTTCAAAACATAGAGTGCAAATGAGGGGCACGTTCTGGGGGTTCCAGGGAAGTCTCCCTGGAGCTCAGAGCTGCAGAATACGGAGATTGCCAGGCTGAACTCAGCAGTGGAAGGCCCAGAAACGGGAAGGAACCCCGAAGGGAGATACAGAGACTGAGGACGGGCCAGGGACCCGAGTCCTTTGAGGAAAGGAGGAAGTGGAAGTTAGTTCCATATTCCTGAAGCTTTCTGGCTCAGGGTGGTCAACTCTTTGGGGACAGGAGAACTTGAAGGACCGATGTGCAGACCCTGACCACAGATGGCTGGGGTAAAATCCCACCTTTCGAGGTCCAGAGCCTTGGGAAAGTTCAAATTTTTTATGTGCCTCAGTTTCACCTCTGTAATATGAAAACGAATTGCATTACTTACCACAAAGCCAAAGCATTGGGTGAAGCTGGAGTGGGTAATACAGATAAAGCAGTCAGGAGAGTGCCTGACATAGTGTTAAGTGGCCTGCTCACTAGGTAGCCATATTGACGAAAGGAATGAGTTACAGGAACCCATTTATCTGGGTGCATTAAAAACTCAGGAAGAGCCGACCAGTGGCTCACACCTATAATCCT